CAGCCCTGCCTGCGCCTGGCTGCTCTTCAGCTCCTGCTCATTACAGCTGCAGGTAATTTTGCCTCTGGCTAATGCACACCTGGTCTCATTCCAGCTTCTGCTTGCTACAGTTCTGGCTAATTGAAGCTTCAGCTCTGCACTGAGGCTCCAGTTGATTTCAGCTCCTTTTCCTTCCAAGCTCCAGCTATCTGCAACAGTCTGGGCTTTATGACAAGGTCGTAAATCAGCCGCTGTCATAACTTGAGTATTACTATTAAACATCATAGCTGTATGTTGTATAAGTATTGATTAATTAGTTTGTATGATTAATTACTTAATAACTATTCTAAGCAGCATACAAAGAGCTGGACTCCAAGAGGGCGTAGAGGGTCTGAAAAGCACCCTTCCCCCCAGAGACCACCTCAGACGTTGAGTTCAGCCTGGTGCACGTCAGCCTCCTGAACTTCAGGGTCTGACACAACCAGACCCCCACCACCGGGGAGGGTCCGCGCACCCTGCCCACCCCCTGCTTCCTGCCAAAGCCCCCAGTGCCCTCTCGCCCCCCTGCACAAACAGCCAAACTGGCTCCTGCTTTTGGCCCCCAAACCAGCTCTACTTAGTGCCCATTTCTGAGGCCAAAACCCCAGCTGCTGAGCCTGTTCTTAAGTCCCAAAAATGCAGCACTCGACCTCTGTTCCTGAGCCCAAAACCATACGATTTAGTCCCCTCTGTCAGGTCCTGAAAACGCACGACTCAATCTGTTTCTGAGCCCCAAAATCAGCCATGTGAGCCTGTTTTCAAGTCCTAGTCTCCAGTTTCAGGCCCCAAACCAGCTCACCCTCTCTGCCTTCCGGCCCCCTTTGCAGTCCCCACATGCGCTGCTGAGGGGTGGGGGAGCGTAGCCACCCCTCAGCCCTGCACCCCCAGGGCCCCACATATGCAGTTTTGGGGAGTGCTTGGGGACTGAGGAGGGCCCGGCCCCACGCCTCCACAGGGCAACACCAGCACAGGCAGGGCATTGCTTTGTTATTGCTATTTCAGGCTTTATTTCTCCGGCACCACCCGCACTGCTGGGCCCGCATCCCAAACCCGCCCAGGCCAAAGCGCTCCCACGGGGAGCCCCAGCCAGCCGCCCCGGGAGCACAGCCCAACCCTCCCCCCCCCCCCCCCCAGCCCCCCCCGGCGGCGCCAGCCGGCCCCTTCCCCGGCCCCACAGGAGCGTCCCAGCTGCCCCTGCCCGATCCACGCCGAGAGGGGAAGAGGCCGCCCGGCCCCACTGAGGAGCAGCCGAGGGCCAGATGGGGCTGCCCCTGCTCCCTGGAGCAGTGGGGGATGCAGAGAGGGGCAGGGAAAGACCAGGATGCAGACGAGTGGGCCATGGCCCCAAGGGCCTGGGACTCACCGTAGCTCCTGCTTTCAGCACTGCTCACAGAATTTTCCAGTTCAGATGCTTCTTTCTCCGTCTCTCTCTCCTCTTCTCCAGCTCCAGTCGCTCGACTGTCCTCCGCCTAAGAGGCCACAGCGGTGCCTTATAGCTCGTGCAACACGAAGCTTCCTACGCGCGCACAGCCTCCCCACGGCCGTGCCATGCTTTTGGATACGCGTACAGACCCTGCGATGCGTGGTGGTGATTTGGTCTGCTGAAGATCACTCAGAGGGACCCTTCCTCACCCAGAAAGATTGGCTGTCTCTTGTTTGCGGCTGGAGGCACCCTCTGGCTCAGTCCCTTTGATTTCATGCTCCAGCTGCTTTACCTTTTCCTAGCCTCTTCAGCTTCGTCGGCAGCAGGTCCTGTCCAAAGCCAGTAAGTATCCACCAGTCCCCGGTCACCCACACCGCCAGGAGAATCAGGCCAAACAGAGAGAGCCCACGCAAACCTGAGGCAAATGCGGTCAACAACCACCCCAGGGAGGAACAGACAACCAAGTCCTCAGCACGGCCTCTGGGAGCGGAAGAGAACGGGTAGCCGTTGCCCGCAGGGTCCATGGCAGCTCACTCCTGCGGCAGGAGCTCCTGGAAACGCCGCTTTCCCCACACGGGCGCTCCCAGCGCCCGCATCAACGGCCGATAAAGCGCATTCCAGGGCAGCCGGCTGCTGTCGGGGAGG